GAACTGTAGTTTTCATATTTAGTGACAATTTTAATTTCTCTTTGGATCAATGTCAAGTTATAGCTCTCTCTACATTCTTGTTTCTTTTTAATCCTCAACACATTTAGGGGAAATAATTCTTAGTTTATGTAAAAAGTCACATCTCAGAAGTTGAGTTATTTCCCCATCACTCCTCATCTCTTCCAAATCTTCTAAATATAATTTGACCCATCAGTCATTCCACGTCTGGTGTTATACAGGAGACATTGAAATGAAAAGATTCTTAAAATTCTGCAGTCTCTTGGGGGGAGAAATCATTTCCCCTCCAAAGTTAATTCTAAAAGTGGAGGACCAGGAACAATGTTTTATTTTGACATTATAGGTCAACATATTTGCAATATTGGGTCTCCTGTTCTTCAACAGCCTTTCTATCCAGTAGCAATTCCATAGCTGTTAAGTGTGTCAGCTGAGAGATTCCATCACCTGCCACTTGCTATTGCATTTATGTAGCACAGTTTTAAAATGTTAAACTTGGTGTTTTTGTCCTCCAGTTAGTATCCCTGCATCTCAAGAAATCAAGGACAAGCCTATGTGCAAAAAAATTATATGATCTTCCTTCCTCTCTTATGTTAAGGTTTTAGACATCAAAGTTGTTCTCTCTCTCTTTCTTCTCGGTGTGTGTGTGTTTGTGTGTGTGTATGTGTGTGTGTTTCTCCCTGTGAGTGTTTTAACATTCAATTGTAAATATTTACATTTATTTAATGTGTTTACATTTTAAATGTATTTAAAATCGGTCTAGACTTCCTAACATAAATTCTTATATACTGTTTTCAAATCCAAGAGATTGAAAGAGGTCATAAAAGTTAATAAAAGATCTTTCTCAGTACTAATGCTTTCATTCTTATCTTCTCACCCATTCCTTGGTAAGTGTTGATTTCATCACCTTATGGATAGAAAAATAGATTACCTAATGCAAATATCCCTTACCTTCTCCATCTCTTAATTACAGTGTTGACTAAAATATGTCTCTTTTTTTGTGTAATGTAACTCTTTTTAAAATGAACTTCTGTGGTTTACATTTGTGGAAGTTATCTGGATTAAATGAAATAGATATTAATAATCTTAATTTATTTTTATCTTTCCTCATCCTCAAAGTCCTCCCATAGCTTCTGTTTTGTCCACTAATCCCTATTGTCACTGACATTCTGTACTTTGACAATGAGGAATAAAATGCTGCTCTCTACCTAATTCTTTATTTGGTAGCATTATTAATAAAATTAACTAAATGAAAAAAATAAAAATAGTTTGTTCATTCTCTAGCATGATTCTTAATCTTGATTGAATCTTGATTGAATCATAATTCACATGCAGAACTGATGTGTGCATGCATGTGTGTGAGTGCATGTGTATTTTCATTTTAACCTGTATTTTGGGTGAGCTACATTCAAACACTGGTCTCAAGCTAAAAATATTATTGGTAGGAAAATTAAATTCAACTCTAAAATAAAAATTCATATATTTTTCCAGGAATCATAGATAAGAAAGACCTGAGATAATAAAGAGTATGCACAGTGCTGAAATTGGATGTAAATACCAGTCATTATTATTATGGAAAATTTAGATGTTAGTCCTGATAAAATTACAATGTTAAGGTCATAGCATTGATCCCACACACTGTTACAGACTCTGACCTGGGACTGAGAAAAAAGGTGCCAAGGAAGGGAGTGTCAACCACCTCTCCAAGGCCAACATTGTAATGGCATCACTGATGCAAAAAATGGGGGCATTCAGGATCAGATAATTACAATGACATAGATAGACTCATAATCATCTTGATTTACTCAAGTTTTAGTGATATTGGAGAAATATTAAATTCTCCTTGATATTCTGTAATATAAATGCTATTCCTGTTATTCTAGAGTGAGTTAAAGCATTCCAACAATACTAAAGTTATAATCAGCCTTCAAGTAAGTAATTCACACATCTGAAATTAATACATATTGAACACTCACTTTTTGCTTAGTCTGTGAAGGTAGCTTTACAAAATATTATGCCAGAGAAATACCAATTATGAAATAATAGTTTTTCATAGTAGCTCTTACACCTAGATATTTTAGAAATCATGATGAATTATCTGGATGTCAAAGGGTAAAAATTACTTCCTTGATAATTAAAATAATAAATTGAGGTAATACGCAAACAATGTGAAATTTCCCAAAATAAAAATATTATTAAATATCATCATATTTGTTAATGTAATTCATGTTTAATCTATGGTTAAAACATTATTCAAATCAAATTAATTTACTCATAAAATGATTAGGGTTAAGAAGATCAATTGAAAAGAATATGCATGTTTAAGTACTTAGAACACCCTATTTGTTTTAATTTCGCAGAGTAAACATATGCAAATAAACATGTGAGTTCAATTTAAATAACATAGAAAAATAAAATAGGTTAGATAATAAGTATGCAAGAGGAACTAACAGCAACAAATAAATCATACTCAAGATGTAATACTTTTTTCTATGAATCTCTATCACTAGGATGATACTAGATCAATATGACTTCCAGTACCTTTATTAATTTATGATAAGATGAGCTTTCATTTATTTGAATTAATTTTCTCATATTCACCTATATCCTTAATCTAACTTTTAAATTAAAAAAATTATAATGAATACATTCCTGCCTTGTGGTTTATTGTTATTTTTTAAAGGCAGTAGAATTAAGAAAATAACATTTTTATAATAAATTCTTTCACCATTTAATCCTTTCCAAACCTTCTTTTGGAAATGGAATTGCTTAGACTCATCTTGACGATTAATTAATATTCTCAATACATGTCATCCCCCCTCAATGAACTCAAAGAGAGAAAAAAATACAATCATGTTCATTGGGCTCAGTATATTTTATTGACATTAATGTTGTTAATTTACATTAACTTCGATGTCACTACTTACTAGCATTAAGTATAGAGGGCAGGGCACAGTGGCTCACACCTGTAATTCCGGCAGTTTGAAAGGTAAAGGCAGGTGGATCTCTTGAGCCCAGGAGTTTGAGACCAGCCTGGCAACATGGCAAAACCCTGTCTCTACCAAAAAAAAAAAAAAAAAAGAAAAAGAAAACAAACAAACAAAACGAATATATGACAAATTAACAATATTTTGCAAACACAATGGTATTACATAATCTCAATAGCATTTCCACAATTAGAAAAATTGACAATGAATTATACATTTGAATATTTAGTTTTGAGATCTCAAAAATATGGCCTCTGATATTCAAAGTGGTTGTCTGAAAACTATATATAATTATGATAAATTTTGTAAATAATTTCCAAAACTCTAAATGCATTCTCTGATAAAATTCACTTTCAGAGTAACTTTTAAAATAGTTTACCAAATGTTAATCTCTTTTTATTTATTTCAGAAGACTTTGTTGCCACATATTTTAACAACTATTTAGTATTTATGTTGTTTAAGAAAAAAAGAAATCTTAACTCTTAATAGTTACTAATAATGGTATTGTTGTTATTGATAGCACTGTGAGTTGGAGAAGAAGTATGATGCTTAACAATTTTAAAAGCATATTAACACTAATATCTTTGTGTTTTTGGTTTCTACTTTCAGAGACAAAGAAATAGCATGGCATGAAACATGGCTCAGTTCTATTACAAAAGAAATGTTAATGCTCCCTATAGAGATCGCATCCCTCTGAGGATAGTAAGAGCAGAATCAGAACTCTCGCCATCAGAAAAAGCCTACTTGAATGCTGTGGAAAAGGGAGACTATGCCAGTGTCAAGAAATCCCTAGAGGAAGCTGAAATTTATTTTAAAATCAATATTAATTGCATTGATCCTCTCGGAAGAACTGCTCTCCTCATTGCAATTGAAAATGAGAACTTGGAGCTCATCGAACTACTCTTAAGCTTTAATGTCTATGTTGGAGATGCTCTATTACATGCTATCAGAAAAGAAGTCGTCGGAGCTGTTGAGCTGTTATTGAACCACAAAAAACCCAGTGGAGAAAAACAGGTACCTGCAAAAATACAGTTTTTAATTTATTTCACCTGCAGAAGAGTTTTTTTGTTTGTTTGCTTGTTTGTTTTTTCTTTTTCTTTTCTTTTCTTTTTTTTTTTTAGAGTTTCAAATGCCCTGAAAATTTAAGAAATATAAGCTTCAAAATCTGAACTATATTATAACAGAAAACTACTATTAGATACACCCTTCATGTCCTATGATAGTTACATCCACTTGCAATTCCTGCCCTGGAAAATCATAAGTAATTGTGAGAGCTAAAGCAAAATGAAGTAATCTAAGTAGACTGCTCATAAATTGGAAACATTTCTACGTAATGCTCAACACAGGTTGCTTGTAACTTTATGTGTATGTCTGGGTGTTTTTTCCTCTTGCCTTTCATTTTCTTATATTCTATCCTAGCAGAGGGTGAATTGGTTTCTTATTTTCGCATTTAGCCTGCTTGCCTGTTCTGGGCTTCTGCAGCTTACTGCAAAAGTGAGTTGCACCATCTAATTTTGATATTATCCTTTAACAAACCCTAGTAGATTCTTTTAAATTGAGACTTAAAGAAAGAAACGAAAGGGATTACTTTGAGATAGCTGAACTCTGACTGTGGGCTTAACTACATCAAATTTACTAATGGTGCAAATGTAGCTATACCTTATAGTTATCAACAGAAAATAAACTAAAATGGCACACAATTATAAATACAATGTGTGTTTTTTTCTTTCCATCTCTCTGTCTTTTTCCACTGAGGAAGTGGAGACATCATAGACAGGAATGAATAAGGAGTCTGTTTTTGTCTGTCTGGACTCTTCCCTTTGCAACTGCCTTGTGTCTGAATTATCTATTTGATCCTTTTTCCCTCCACACTGAACTCATCACTTCCTTGCATCAAGGCTAATTGACTAATTGCAAAGACATTGCAGATTCTGCAGTGGTTCAAAAATTTGCCTTTTAAAGTAAAATCTTATAAAATGGATGTTATTTCAGCTCTAGCAAATTCTAGCCTATTTGATAATATACACATCTCTGTCTCTGCAAACGCTAGACTGTTAGAAGGTGTGTGCCTTTTTTTTTTTTTTTTAACAAGCAAGCTCTTCTTGCTTTCCTGGAGGACGTTTATCAGAATTTTTGCCACATTATTAGGAAAAGAACTTTACAGCTGAGCATCCCTGTCTGCTGGGAAAAGCTTGTGTTTTTATGGTCCCATTTTATGTTTCATCCCCATTCAACCCTTCCCCTCACCTGAACTAAAACTTTGGTAAAGTAACACCCCACAGCAACAATACTTTTTTGCTTGTTGCTTTGCTGGCATTTTGCTGTTTCTTTCATAAACAGTTGTTTGTGGATTACTCTCATTATATTGGTAAAATTTTACTGCTATGAAAATTTGCTTGTTTCTTGTATCCTTTCAAAAGTGAACAAGCCTTGATCGGGGTAGACAGGTAATAGTAATATCCAAAGACACATTTCATGTTATATACCAGACTTTCACCACTAAGGAGGTACAGAACACAGACAGGAATGAGTAAGAGTCTGTTTTTAATCTGTGTAAGTTTAGGTGCTACTACTTTAGTTTCCTTGTGGTACTGAAATTCTTTCCACAGCTGCACCTCTCAAGTATTTGCATTTTCTAACAGCAATGATATTATATTGTACACTCTCTTATTTTATGTCTATATAGGCAACCATAAGACAGATGTTTTGGCTGTGATGTAAATCATTATAGATTGCAGCAAGTCTATAGAACAAAACTGCCATTGAACATGTTTTTGATTTTATTACTAAAGAACCTTCTTAGTTCTATTTTCTAGAGAACACTGGCCATAAATTTCAGTGTCTCTTTAGTCAATGACATTTGTACTGACCAGAATAATTCTGTGTCTGCAGAAGATGTCTGCTATTATGAGAGTGTTTGTTGGAAGATGTTCAACTTCTGAACTAAACTCTAGCCTCACAAGTAGGTCCTGGCTCCTTACAGGCATTTGATCTGGATTGTCATTATTAATAAAAGGCAGTCAAGGTTTGTGATCTGCCAGGAGTCTGAAATTTCCCAGACCATGTGTTTCTGGAAGATTTCTCTTGTATCAGTCTACTGGCCAAGAATTCCTTTTCTATTTGTACATTCTAGAATTCCTCTTCAGTGAAGGCACTGAGAATAAACAAAAACTGTATGATTTTGTTTGAACTTTATAATTTTGAAAGAGTAATTTCAATCTCCCTCAGAATTCTTGGCATCTTGCACAATGAAAGCTGAAGTTTTAGCAACATGAAATGTGCATAGCGTAGCATACAAAGATTTCCTCAGTGCTTGGGTCGTATCAAATCCCATTAGAGCCTGGCTGTTTGTTTGTGATTTTCTTAGGTAATTTATTTCCTAAGGAAGGTCAACATCTTTTGGAATAACAGTTTTCATAAATCACTGTGTTGTAAGTAGCAAATATGTTCTTGATAGGACTTTTTCTCTCTCATAAGGTGTAATTCCTTATTCTTGTGATCATTGAAGGCCGTTTTTGTTTTATTTTAATTCTCCTAATTTTCATACTCATGGTATCCCCAAAGATTCTGGGACATGTTGTCATTTGTTTTGTTGAGGTCATTGAGGCCGAATGATAAAACCTGAAAACAATAATATCAAACTGAACAAAATAAATGTAACATCCTAAAATGAGTAAAGAAAGAGGTTCTAATAAAAAAAAAATCATCCAAATCTGATTTTTAGAATGCTTAGTAGTTTCTAAAATGTAAGAAATGTGTATTCAAAATATACTCTTTTAGAAATTTGTCACATATTAACTTATTTCTCTGGAAAATAAAAGATTTCTTAGGCATCCTTAGGTCATGGGAGCTGTGAGATTTCAGATGAATTTGTCTACGCTTAAAGGCTTTCACTGGGGAACAATTTCCAGATGCCTGCTCTGCCAGGCCTCGTCCTGGGCCCTGAGGAGGAGACACTGTTCCTTTTCTCGAGAGTCCTAAGGTCCGATTGTGAATACAGAAAAGAAAAGTATCATGGGAATATGAATAAAGGCTGTCAGAACTGAAAAGATGAAAATGAATCCTCAGAAAATTATGAAGTTAAATCAGCCGGATTTGGCAAATACAAAATGTTAGCGGGTAGAGGGCTGGAGAAGGGCTTGAAGGAAAAAGGAGAAGAATGTTGATGGGTATATACCTTGAAAAAAATAACACCATTAACTGAAATAAAGCCTATAAGAAAAGACTTATGGGACCAAATTGGACATATGAGGCTTTTTATTTGTTAGTATTAATACTTAGGAGTTAATTAGAAATGTTGGATTTAAGAATGGGGTCTAAGATTGTTATGTAGATGATATTGAAGCAGGACGTTGAAGCATATAAAATCACTTTGTCTTCCTGCAGTTCTGACATTGATTTTTTTCTTTTTGACCTTATACGTGTTTTAAAGATTTGTGGTTTTAGTATATTAAATGATTTTTCTCAATGCAGCATGTGATGAAAAGATCTAGGTATTTCCAGATAAATAGATGGGCATAGATCATTAAATATTTTCTTCCATATTTAAGGTAGTCTTTCATAAATCAGGGTCTTCAATTTAGTTTTTTTTTTTAAACAAGAAAAGTAATAGCTTATTTCTTTCCCACAGGAGACAGCACAGAGAGCCTCTGATTCTCTACACTAAGCAGGAATCATTGCACTGATAGTGTCTGATGACTTTACCGAACTTCGCTTTAACCTTCTACCTTATTTCTCTAGAGGGAATAACTGAGAATGACTTCTTAACCCTCTTTTCAGTCAGTTGATTGGTAATTTGACTTTTCATTGGTTTTAGCAGACCTTAGATGTCTTCTAAGTCCAGATTTAATTTCAGTTTCAGCCGCTTCAGTAAATGTTTATCAGAAGCAGAACTTGCTTTTCAATTTTTTTGTTAGATCAGTGGTTGTCAATCTTTAGCATCATCACTGGAAAGGCTTGTTACAATACAGACTACTAGGACCTACCTGCAGAGGTTCTGACATAGCAGGTCTGAAGTGAGGCCTTGGGATTTGTATTTCTAATGAGTACCCCAGGTAGTGCTAATGCTGCCAGTCTAGCAACAGGGCTTTGAGAACCACTGATTCAGAGGATGTTGCAGGTTATAGAAAACCTACAGCTGTATATTTTATGTTAGATGTCTTATACTATACTATGCTAACCTGGTTTTCAGGAAATTTCAATTCATTCCCTTAAATACTAGCTATTAAGTGGTATTTAATATATGAGAGTTTCCCAATTTCAGTAACATCCGTATTATGTATTCCTACTTTGGAAAAAAAGACTTTGCTATACATTATAAACAGTTAAGATTCCAGAGTGATTAGCTGAAGAAATTTTGGTTTTAAAGTTCTACTAAAACTAATGCAGAGTATTTTATAATTGGAAGGATTCTTAGAGATCAACCTAATCAATCACCTCATTTTACAAAGGAGGGACAGGAAAGAGGACTCAATGGGACAGTGGGTTGGCCAGACTGAAAGGACCTATAAATTAATAGCTAGCAACCAACCTTCATATAATCTGGATAATAATAAAAATTGTATGACAAAAAATGACAACAACAGTAGTAATACTAGATGATATTCACTGAGTTTGTCACCATGCCAGTAACTCTGGTTAGAATTTTACTTGCTTTATCTCACTTAATCTTTATATTGTCCTATGAAGGTAGGTGCTATTGCTATCTCCACTTACAAATGGGAAAATGAAGGCATTAAAAGGCTTAAGTGACATAGTGACACGTCCCAGATCACAAAGAAAGGAAATACCAGTGCTGGAACTCAAGAGTCTCTGAAGATAGTCACTATGCTGGTCTGGCTTTAGCCATTGCATCAATTTGAACAGGTGTCATTTAAATCATTAATTACTTATTTTAATTCAGGATATGAATTAGACAAATTTTAAGACGTCTCTGGATGTACACATTCAGACTGTCTCTATCCTGAATATTATAATGCCATTTATAATTTTGTTGCCCAACAAATACTAACTGT